GTGAATTTTTAATTATTGATCGTTAAGCTATAATTTCCTGACATTATTATAAAATTGTAAATTCAAATGATTTTCTTATAAATTTTGAATGTTTCAGTTATTTTTTGATTAAGAATTATTTAAATTCGCAACATTTATATTTGATTGGTGATGAAAAATTTTATGGCTTAAACTTAACGATAATTCAATTTGATGTAAATTTGGATGTGATGCCAATTGAAAAAAACATTTTATTATGAATTAACACCTTTTAAAAGTTCAATTTTTTCAAGTAAATTAAATTTAGAGATTCATTTTATTTATCAGACAGTGCACAGTTTGCCTATGCAAACAAATAAGAACGAATCCTATTTGTTAATTGTAGAGCATTGAGCGAGTTAACTTACATCATTTTATTAGTTTATCACCTTTCATAAGTTCAATTTTTTCAAATAAATTTTCATTTTAAAATTTCAATCTGTTATAAATTTTGAGTCGAAATCTTTCAGACCACATCCTTCGTTAATTGCATTCTTTTATTTAGATTCACTTTGTGTGATATGTATTTCTAAACAATTGGATTTAAATTTTAAATTTGAAAAGGCATAGAAATTATGAAAAAGATAGAAAGTTTTAAAAAGAATTTGGAATCTTCTGGTTTTGAAAAGTTAATTTTTTTTTAACAGCCAAATTTCTTGATATCTTTAAATTCGATATTTCAGATCAGATGATTACTGGACTGATAGAATCAGAAAATGCCATGAGTCTGAAAAAATATTGAAAATAAACAAGATCAAGTCGACTAGAAACTAGAGTTTAGTAAGATATATCAAAACGATTATCACTGGCCTATTCAAATTCAAAATATTTCTTTGTTTTTTACAGATTAATTAATTTTTCAAATCATCTAAAAAATGATGATTTATTCTTTGGTCTTAGCAAGCCATTTATTTACTGCTTCACTCAACTCAACTTTCGCCTTTATCATTTACAGTTATTGTCAGCCATTAATTCAATTGTTATCGTTCGTAACTATTTCAATCATGAATTATAGAGATATGACACAAGTATAGGTCCCCTTTTATAAAATGTTGATAGAAGCCATATGAAATGGCTGAATTAAAATTTTCAAACTTCCAAGCTGTTAATTTTATCTCTCATCATTTTTTGTAAATAATTTAACTAATTAAATTGAAAAATTCGAAAAATTATATGTGGTAATTGTGGAAGTCTTTGTAGTCAATTTGTAATATTTCAACATAAAAATTCAAAATTATAAACGTCGACTGATAATTTTTATTTGTAATCACTCGGAAAGAAATAATTCCTTCGAAAAAATTTTTTTTTTCTAGAAAAAAACTTTGAACTGCTGAATTTTCTTTCTTGATCTTGCAATAAAATCCTTTAAATCACTCATCAGTTCCATCTTCATGGAAAGCTAAGAAAATTTTTTTCTTCGCTGTATTTTTTTTGAAATACTATCTCTATGGATACATAAGATAAATACCTATTCCAAAAAGTTTTTGCACTTGGAAGCTAAGAAATTAAAATATAGTGTAGGATCTCGAAACTTAATGGAAAGACATGAAAGTAAGCTATTCAAGTGGCATAGCATAATAAATTAAGCTATTTCATTGATCAAGAATAATTAAACTTTTTGTTCTAATTTGACAATAAACAACAGAACAGAATATAAAAATAAAATGATTAGGATAATTTAAATCTTTACGGATGTGTATGTGATACAATTATTTTCATGTGCTCCGGAAAAGTACAAATCCGATATGCACCTGTTCTTTATATTCCAATTGTTTATCTAAAGTTTTTATTCGGACAATGAAAGCAAATCTTTCGTCATTATCAATGATTGCCAGTAGTTTAGATTGAACAAAGAGCTAATTAAAGTGAATAGAACTTTTACACCACCTTACTACCAACTTCTTTAATTTCGATAAGATTCCTCAAACCACAATATGAAGTCCCTCTAACTCAATTACAAGAATAGTAATGGAAATGTCCAGCCAGGATTTCCTTGAAACGGTATTTTAAATACCATTTGAGCTAAGAGATCAGAATTGCAGTCACAGAAATACCAGTGTGATGAAAGAAAAAAATACTAGCATGTGCTCAATACTAAGAATTATTCGTAAAATCAATCATGCATTGAGTAACAAATATGAAGGCTCTAATTGCAAGTAATTTTTAACCGAACTGAAAAATTTAACTTTCCATCTTCTGAATTTATTTCAGTAAGATATGTTGATCTCCAAGTTGGATACAAATAATTGAGGATGATGGAGAGAAGAGAGAGAAGAGAAAAATTAACTCTGATTGGACGCATTATATTTTATACTTCATAAACACTCACTTTAATGTACTTCATTCCTCACCCAAGTGTAATTGTTTTCAAAAAGAATATATTTTTTAAAGTAGCAATTTAATAATTTGATAAATCAAACTCGGATTTAATATTTTTGATCTGAATATCAAATCTTTATCTGATTCGCAAACTTTGAAGTCTTAATAAAAAAGTAACAATATTTCGTTAAATCTAAAGAAATTCGAAAATAACGCTCGTTAACAAGGCATGAGAAAATCAATCATCATATCAGAGGAGTGAATTTTATTGATGATCTTAGATTTGTTAAATGGCTATCACTGTAACACACGCAAGTTTTTGTAATGCAAAAAATGCAACAAACTTCTTGTTCTCACACTGTTGTGTTTTTTTTTTCGCAAACCTTGAAGTCTGTATGTGTTGTCATAAGAATTACCTGACTGTCCTAGGTTTCCCTGAATTGTTTGCTTATCATGAGTTCCCCTTATGACTTTTTTAATATTTTAATACAATGAAAATTATAAGCTTTAAGCTGCGATCATTTAAATTCATTTATTATTTTATTTTTAAATTGAGCATCTAAATGCACTTACTATTTACGCCACTCTGATCGATCCTCTTCTTTTATATAACTATCATTCTCTTCACTCTCAAATACTTTTGATATTTTATTTAATCGATTATGCAAAATAGTTATGAATAATAAATGGTAAGAGGAAAAGGAATTATAGTAATGGAATCCCTTCCCTCAACACAAAGAATCGTACAAAAACCGGAATTTTAATCAGTTCAGCTTTATACGAGAATTGTTTTACTTTGGTTGTTATTGCATTTGTGACGTTTATCACAATATATAATCATTGTTATTAATGTGAAAATATTATTGCTTTATTTTTCTAGAATGAAGCTTAAAATAATCAAAATATCTTTTAACATTTTACAAGCATTTATAATGTGAAGAGATGAAAGATTGAATAATTCCTCACGAGAGCCGTAAACACTTGTGATCTCTTATGCTTTCAAAATCATTTCCTTCATTCAGAAAAACTTAATTATCGATAAGAAAAGTAATCAGTGCGCTTTCCGAACACGTATCTTGCACAGAACTATTGTAAAAACACGCTATGAGAAGACGAAATTCAAACGTGGATTATACAAAAAGAAACAAATATAACGAGGGTCATAAATATTTGAATTTAAAACGATAAAATAACCTGCAATATGAATTTTTATGCAGAATTGGTTAAAAAATTGTCATTTTTTTTTGAAGTAAAATACAATCATTTGTTATCAAAACTGAAAGGTTATTATCGTTGTTTGAAGTTAATCTTCCAAGGCTAAGGTCGAAATGATTGAAAAGAAGAAAAAGATATGTAAACAAAGTTTCAGTGATGAATTTGGAATTGTTTCAAAATATGATTGAAATATCATATTGTTTCAGCAAGAAGAAATTGAAATTCAAACAATTCATCCAAATAGAGAACAATTATCTCGACGAGATGCGTTGATACCTGAACAGGTAAGGATTGTTGATTTATTTATTCTATTTTCTCAATGCATTTTTACAGTAAAAATGAGGGATGAAGTGCAAGAAGATCATTCTGTTTCGAAAAATGAAAACCTTTTCCGTGATAAATCTATAAAGCTTGACTTTTTTGGCAAACTTGGTTCAAATATGTATACGACATTCTTTCATTTCCATCATTAAAACATTGAAAAGGGGTGATCTTTCCAACTTTTATTCTTTAATTAATCTTTTATACCTTGCAAAATTTCAACGTCTATTCAATTATGTTCCACTTAATATTTTACCTGTTTACAGCCAAACATTCAACAAGACGAGTAAGTATTCCGAGCATGCATTGAAGACTTGTCCGATTAAATGCGTCTTTGGCTTTTTCAAAAGAATTGGGAGAGAATGAGTTAAATAAGAATCCATTCCACACAATATCTTCATTTTCCATTTCCTTTCTCACTTTTTAATTCTTCCTTCTTAATTTCATTTTTCCCTGTTTATAAAATTACTCCATCCATCCAACGTGGCCAAAGAATTATTAAGTTGAAAATCTTAAGGTTAATATATAAACGCCGTTTCCCTATTGCACTTAGGCTCTTAGTGATGTAAGACTGTGTTGCATTCAGCTAATGGATATTATCTATTATGTCCATCATTGTTATATGTTGTAAAGACTTGTTTGTTTTACATTTTTGTTTAATTTCTATTTTCTTCTAATAACATGCACAAAAATAAAATCAAGCCAAAAGATGAAAAATTAAAATATTTCGAGTTTTATAGTGCTGACACGGAAGGCTGCTCGGATAATGTAATCATTGTACCACACCTGAAGATATCTCCAAATGATTCACAACTTTTTAATCGAGCAATAAGTTCCGGAGGTGGACTATTGGCTGGCGAGTATTTTAGATTACTTTTATGTTGTGCACTTTTGACATTTGTCCAAGTCTTGCAGAAAGGCTCATCCGACATTAGCACTGCCACTGTAGAAAAAATTGCACTCATCTCGTAGGATTAAAAGCTTTGTATTAATGCTCAGAAGATGAATTCTTGAAATTATCGGATTTGTTTGTTATATTAAAGTCTTTATAAGTATTGAAAAATAAATTACTTTCAAGCGCGCAAGCAAAAATAAGTTTAAAGATATCCAATATTATCACAAATACCATGAATAGAAATAATTTTCCACTTGAAAATGCAGATTTACAAAGGGCAACAATTGCAAGTCAAGCATTTTATGCCGATGCAAAGGAACAATCAAGAACGAGATCACCGTGGATTTTAAAACGATTGGTGAGCTTTTGGAAACAGTTAATTTAATCTAGCTTGTTATTATTCCTTGTGAAGAAAACAAATTTAATTATTTTTAACTTTTGAAATACCCGAGTACTACAAAATAACAAGAGAATTACAAGTCAGAAGGAAAGAGGTCTTGAAATTAAGCCCCTTCATATTTAAATTTAACAAATACTATTTTATGACTTTGATAGGGAAAACTAATTAATAAACGAACTTGTAATTCTTTTAGTATGAATGGTCACATCGAGCCAAGAGGCGAGAAATAATAAAACACGTACAAGCAGCATTGGAAACATCCGGAGATCCTGAATTCAATGATGAAGAATTGGAAAAATTACTTGTAAATTGACAAATTTATTGAAATTTTACCAATATTAAGATGTCACGGAACTTTATGAATTCTTTTGCAGACGAAAAGTATTTAATTATAGATAAGTGAATATATGATTTGCAGTTTTTCCTTCAATTTGTTAAAGGCATTATTTAATTATCCATACTAGTAGTAGTAGTAAATTTATTGAAATTTTCAAAATTTCAGAATACTTAAATTTCTTTAGTATGTGCCATTTTTGTATCATAGACACTGAAGGATATCCCAGAAAAAGTCTTTGATTAAAAAGCGAGATTTTATTTGATGGAGTGTAAAATTCCTCGTTGTTATCGAGATCTCTCAAACCTTCATTCGACATTTTATAGCTGGTCAACTGGGATGAAATATTTGCTGTCAATGCGGAAAATTTGGAATCGATGGATAAAAAACGTTTGCAAGCAGTGTGGGAGTTATTTCATAGGGAATTAATATTCTTTCACAAGCAACTTCTCGTTTTGAGGTTTCATTTCATTTAATCTGCCAAAAACTTAATTTGAAACTGGTCTAAAAAAATTGTGATATAAAATTGCGGAGAAAACTAATATTTTATTTATACTAAGCAAAAATTAAAAGGTTAATTATTGGAATATATATGACTTAAGGATAGTAAAGAAAGATTTTATTTAGAAATCTCATTTGATATTTGAATCCAATTTTTTCAGAAATGTTTACAAAGAACCGCTGAAAAAATGTCAGGTTGAGGGATGCTTATTAACTGTGGAACCGGATTTACTGTTCGGAAATCTTGACCAAATATGCCGGGTTCTATACTTCGTTGTTATATTTCTATAATTAATTTTCAATGAAATATGAACGAAATTTCTTTAATTTTAGTAAAGTTGAACAAAAATGTTCAATTTAACTTCGAAATTTTGAAAATCTATAATTTGATAACTTATTATACTGAAAATCATTTTCAGATAAGCTGGTCATTTTGTAAGTCATTTCTTAAAATATTGAATGAAGTTGGCACAGTTGGCGAAAATAATAATTACAATACAACCGATCTTATTGTGAGATTGTTCGAACGGGCAAGTTTTTATTGAATTTTAATAGAAATTTCAAAAAAGTTATACTCTTGCAGTATTCTTAAGAAGATTTTAAAAAAAAATTTTTTTTCTTACGTACTGCAAGAGTTAAAAAAAATTGGTTTCAAATATAATTAATCTCAAATTTGCTAATTTAAATTTTGTTTAAAGTTTTCCAAAGGACCATCAACAATATCGGCTTACCAGGCATACTGCATTAATTATAAGGCTACAATGGAATATTTGGGATTAATACGGGAAAAAGAGGAACGTTTCACAGAATTCGAACGGGTAAATTTCACACATTTTAGCCTAAGCAAATTATCATTCGTACATTAATTACTTTTCAACAGTTAATAACGCTTTCGTACTTCCATAAGCGGTAATTACTATTAATTCTTTGCAATGCTTTAAGCAATGCAAAAGTATTCCGCCCTAATTCGATCAATTCATTTCGCAGTTCTTCGGTTTCTATGAAATTTACTCTTCGTATTTTTAGATATGTCTAACAGATCCGCGCTGTGAACGGCTACAACTGGAAGATTTGCTGATAGCGCCATTACAGCATATTACAAGACTGCCTATTTTGTTGAAAGAAATTCACAAATATACCAAAGACAGTGGTGATAAAGGACGGATTGAAAAAGTTGTCGAAAATATGAACGAATCATTAAGTGCGCATAGCTTATGTTATAATAAACTGTTACAAAGTACTACGCATAGAAATAAAAAGTATTGATTACTTCGTCTGATTCCACAAGCTCAGCGAAGAAACATTTGATTTGATGAAGTTTAAACTAATTCATTGTGGAAGAGATTGATTGGACTAACCTGTAACGAATAAAAGAGTCGTATAAGGACACTACTGTAGATGCGAACATTGCTGATTACACTGACAAATACATTTTCTGTAAGCTTCAAATAAACGGAAAAACCATTGCCAAAATGCAAATTCTGCAGTCTTCAATATGACAAAATGGTATGACAAGATGGTTGACATTTAGGATCGATAGATGATTCCGTCCAATGGTTGCACAATTTCGAACGGTTACAGCAACTTCAAAATTCAGTCATTTGGCCATCAGTTATTGAATTGGAAACACGAACGTTTATTCCAGAGGTGAGAATCTGCTCCCTTATAATATTTTGTTTTGTCATTCCAAATTTTGGATTATGGTCTGAAAAGAAAGGCTGAGTTTAGCTGCTGATAGCTGCAGACAAAGTCTGAAGGTTTTTATCTGAAGGTTTTTAGAAATGCTGTGATAACTTTTTTATTACATTGAATTTGGTACATATGCAACATAAACGTAACTTTGCTATGCTATTTTTAATAGCATGACTTAATAAAATTATTTACAGTTCTTACGGGTAGCGCTATCCAGACAATTCTGCGAGAATCTTTTGGCGCATCCAAGAAGAAAATTGATTCATGAGGGTCATTTAGAGCTTGTTGGTCAGTGTGCATTAATAATTCCATTCTATAGAATTTACTTCTTTTATTTTCCTTGCAACTTGAAGTCGATTTTCTCGTCACTTTTAAAATTTTGCAGAAAATGGTAGAACGTGTGACTGTTACGCGTTCTTATTCAACGATATGTTTCTATTAACGAAAATGAAGAAATGCGCCAAAATTAAAGTATTTATTCTCCATTTAGAGTTTGAAAAGATAAATATAAAATTTAAATCAAATACAAACAAAAATTTCATATTTGAAATGTTTCAAACAAAGCATTGCTTAGCAAATGTGTTTAAGAAATGTTACATGAAGCAAAATTTAATCTCTATAAAACGTTTTAAGCTTATCAAAACAGATAATACATCTTCGCTCATATCTCACAATCAGTGCATCGTAGACTACTTACTGTTACAGAAAGGCATGACGCAGTTGACGAAATCAGAACAATATGTTGTCCAAAAGCAGCCAATACCGCTGGACTCTTGTGTCTTTTGTGATGCTGATTCTAACGATTCCACTACTAGTAGTTTGTTTTCCGTTCAAAATTTGAAATCTGCTCAAAATAATCAAAAATTTCGATCAAATATGTACAGAAAAAATTAATTCTCAGAGTCTTTTTTCAGTGTCATTAAAATTTGCATTTGTGATAATACACCTCACACGGTACTACCAAGTGGTGTCGATTTTTACCTTACAAGCTGCTAACAAGCACGATAAAGTAAATCTTAAATTTACCTTATTATAACTACCACATTTTATCTTTTCGTTTACAACTTTTTTCCTCTTTGCGGAGATAATTATTTCTATTATATTATACATGCAAATTTTTGTCACATTTAAAATGAATTGTTAGTTTGAAATGTTCGGAGTAAGTTAAAATTTTTATAAAGTTTTCAAAGAAAATCGGTCTTTAAATTCCGGAAAGGAAAACAGGATATGGCGTTACTTCCCATAAATGAAAAAAAATTTCTAATTCAATGCGAGTTAAAAATAAAACTGGAGTGCGAGCTTAAAATTTCAAATCACATTTTTGAAAAATCTTAAATTTATTCTAGGAGTTATGGATTGCAAAATTCCAAGAATCAATTGAAAACTATGAATCGATCCAGTTGAAAGATATGTTAAAATGTACCCCACTTTACTCCAGTTTATCCTTGCGGCGTTGTTCGTCATCTCGTCTAATGCAACCCAATACTCGTACCTGTCAAAATCCCAGTGATATAAAACCATCACATTCCGATGTACAATTGGAAAGACCGGTAGAAAATGAAGAAGTGAACACAAAGGACCAACACTTCAAATCAGAATTAGTGGATGCGACTACTAATATTCATGGTTTGGTACCATCATCAGATATACAGACAATGCAACTGGACATTGAAACTATTTGACATTATCTCAGCCGTTCTTATTTTTCTCATTCCTACGACATTCTCTATTACCTAATGATAATGAAGTTTGTTTGGATCAAGTAGTAAATGATATTGAGACCGCTCTTTCGAACTACGAATTATATATATCAAAAATAATAAAAGATGGAAATCACAAAATTTAGTCGTTTTACATTGAATTTTAAGAAGAAAATGAATTAATTGTTTTATAATGTAAGTTTTTATAATCATTTGTATGACCAAAAAAAGTGCAAAAAAGAGATTTGTAAATACGAAAACATTATCATGTCTTCTGTAATATTTCCTTATTGATTCACGTCAATTTCATGCAAAAATTATTCTCAAATTTAAATAAATCTCGAACTAATTTTGAAGGTATAATTACCGATGTTAGGTGAACATTCAATTGAAATAGCTTCGATATCCAGTTAATGGCGAAGTTATGAGTTCTTCGTTTACAGTTATGAAAATTGCGAGCTTAGAAAAGTTTTGAACTTAAAATCGTTTAACCAAATTCAGCTCAATTTTGATCAAATTCACTAGGTGCATGAGGAAATGCAAAAATCATTGCGAAATAAATCAAACTTCATTTCCTGGAGATCAGGAATACTTACTTAAGAGTTATTCGCCGTCAATGTGCATTCCTATAATTTATATTTCAATTCCCTTCTAATACCTGTTCATATTCAGTTAAGTCATTCACGTCATTTCTTCTTTATTGATTTACTTTCTAAAATTCAAAAAATGAGCGTTACTTCTTTGTTTTGCCGATATTCTCTTCCATACTTTTTAAAGTATATGTATACAATGTAAATGATAAAAATTTGAGAGAGAACAGCGCGCCGACCTAGTCTTTGCAAACAGATATTTAAGAGAACTTAATACTAGACTGATAATTGATAATATGTAAATTTAAGTTGATCGATTCAAATTGTCACCTAAAACTTACCAACAAATCGTTTTCTATCTCACAGGCACATGTTAGCTGATATTGCAGTTTCGCAATTTCGGTTTGACCAGTGATACCAAGCCAGATTTACAGTCAGGCATTTTTCTAATAAACTGAGCACAATCGCAGTATATATTTATAAAACTGTCATCAAAAATTAATTCGCAATGAAATAATGCCATTTTTGTTTGCAATAAATGTACAGTAAATGTTAGCAGAAGAGATTTTTAAAGTTGAAGAAATACTGATAAGGAAATGATAATTCGACAAATTACTGTGAAAATGAATTGAGAAAACGATAGAATTGTAAATAATTAGAACGATACGTATTGCTTAGTATTTATATACTATTTTTAATATTTATATACTATATGTACTATTCATTTATATACTATTAATTTCTTTTTCAATAGAAACAAGAGAAGTTAAGGAAGCAACAAGAGAAAACGAAGGTACCATATTTATGGACATTATGAAGTGAGTAATATGATTACAGAAAAAAAAACAGTCGCAGGAAAAAAAGAAGTAATTTCTGTAGGATGAAAGAAATTCAGTAATGCACTGACCAACAAGCTCTAAATGATCTTCATGGATCAATTTTCTTCTGGGATGTGCCAAAAGATTCTCGCAGAACTGTTTGGATATCGCTACACATAAAAATTGCAAATAACTGATTATCAAGTCTTATCGGTAAGAATAGCGTAGCAAAGTTACGTTTATTTCTATCAAACTTAATGCAATAGAAAAATTATCACTGTTTCTAACTGACCTTCAGAATGAAGACTTTATTTAATTGCAACTATCAATACCTAAGTGCCATTAAATATAAAAAGTAATTAATATGTGAATGATAATTTGTTAGGCTGAAATGTGTAAAATTCACTCGCTCAAATTCTCTGAAACGTTCCTCTTTTTCCCGCATTAATCCCAAATATTCCATTGTAGTTTTGTAATTAATACAGTATGCCCGGTAAGCCGATATTGTTGACGATCCTTTAGAAAACTTTAAACAAAATTTAAATTAGCAAACTTCAGATTAATTATATCCCAGTAGCAAAACAAATTATGTAAAAAATTTTTTTAATTTCCTTACCTACCGCAAAAATACAACTTTCTTGAAACTTATAAAAAATTCAGGAAAAATCTGTCCGTTAAAACCACCCCACAATAACATCTGTTGCATTATAATTATTGCAACCTTTTTGCAAACATTACTAAAAAAATTGAAATTTTACTTATCCCTAAATTTTGCTTACTCCTACGAAGAGTTTAACTGCTTAACAGATTCAGCCCATAAATGCATTTTACATTTTCGATATTT